TTTTTTTTTTTTTTTTTTTTTTTTATTCCCCTCATCCCTGATGGTTTTCAGGAAACCTTTCACCTCCCCTGTCCTTGCCACGGGCAGCACTCAGAGATGCCATCCCTGACTTTGACCAAGGCTGTTCTCCATCCCATAATCCATCACTGGCTCCTCTAGCATTGCCCTGTTTTCTTCTGGAGTTGCCCGTGGAGCAGATGCCTCCTTTGAGCTGTTTGGAAAACATCCCGCAACTTTTCCTGAGTTAAACTATTAATTGAGAATCCTGGCAGGTACTTGACTAGTTTGGTTTTGTTTTGTTTTTTTTTTTCCCTGGAGCAGCGGTTTTACAGTTGATTTCATTACTTTTCATTCACTGATGTGTTTCTTTTTCCTTAAATTCCCTGCTCAGGTGAGACCCCCCTGCAGAGCTGCCCCAGCCCTGGGAACAGCAGCACAAGGACGTGGAGCTGCTGGAGAGAGTCCAGAGGAGGCCCCGGAGCTGCTCCCAGGGCTGGATCCCTCTGCTCTGGAGCCAGGCTGGGACAGCTGGGGGGGATCACCTGGAGAAGAGAAGGATCCAGGGAGAGCTCAGAGCCCCTTGCAGGGCCTAAAGGAGCTCCAGGAGAGCTGGAGAGGGACTGGGGACAAGGGATGGAGGGACAGGACACAGGGAATGGTTTCCCAGTGCCAGAGGGCAGAGACAGATGGGAGATTGGGAAGGAATTGCTGGCTGGGAGGGTGGGAAGGCCCTGGCACTGGTTGCCTAGAGAAGCTGTGGCTGCCCCTGGATCCCTGGAAATGCTCAAGGCTGGGTTGGAGCAACCTGGAACAGTGGAACCATCCCTGTCTGTGGTAGAAGAGTGGAACTGGATGAGTTTTAAGGTCCCTTCCCACCCAAACCGCTCCGCGATTCCGACAGAGGACTCCGAAAGCAAAGCCCGACCCCACAGCCACCAAAAGGAAACCTCCTGCTCTCCCACAGCACACGAGTGGCACAGAGCCACCCCCCTGCACCAGGATGGGTGCCCAGGCCCATCTGTGGAGATCCACTGCCCTCCCACACCCACGGGCCACCAGAACCACAGGGGCACCATCCAGCAACGCTCGGGGACGGGACAAGGGCGCCCATCAGACAACGCTGAGCTGATGGTCCTGGCTGAGCACCTGGATCTGCAGGTGGCACATCCATAACGGCAATGCTGTGACAGCCACAACAACCACGCCAACCACGCCGTCCCTGATACCCAGGGGTGGGCAGGGACGTGCAGGGTGTTGCCTCTCCTGCAGCGTGCCACCTCCCAGCGTTAGTTTTCTGGACGCATACCCATCGTCATGGCAACGCCGGCGCGCCGCGGGCTCAGCACCTTCCTGAGAGCCACCATCGACCACACCGGGGGCTGGGGAGGGGATGGAGGGGAACCCCCTCAGTGCCTGCACCCCCGAGCTTCCCCAGGCTCCAGCAGCCTTCCTGCCTCCCACCTGGCATCCCGTGGTGCTCAGTCCCATACAGGTGTGGGGGCACGTGCCAGCCATGGGGCACCTTTGCTCTCTACTCCTCTTGGCCAGCCCCGCTCCTTGCAGGAGCCTCGCTGGGCCCCAGTGGCCTTCCTGCTTCCCACTTGGGATGCCACGCAGGTGGCTGACCCCACACAGGTGGCTGACCCCACGCAGGTGTCTGACCCCACGCAGGTGCCTGACCCCTCGCAGGCGCAAGGGCACATGCCATCCACAGGACACCCTCGCCCTGGTTCTTGGCCAACCCACCCCTCGCAGGAGTGTCACACCACGCTCCGCCAGCCTTCCCTCTTCCCTCCCGGGACCCCGTGGAGCTGGATCCCACACGGGTGCGGGGGCACAACCCACCCCAGAAGCCCCGGCGTGCCCTCTCCCCCGCGTCCGTACCTGGCCTTGCCGCGGCTGCTCCTCCGGAGCGTGGGCAGGTCGGCCTCCTTCTCCTCCTGCACGCGCTGCAGGGACGGGGAGCGGCTGTGGGCGCTGCGGGCGCTGCCCGAGCTGGCCAGGCTGCCGTCCCCCGCCGCCACCACCAGCCCGGCCGCCGCCTCCTGCATCTGCACCAGCAGCTGGGGCGGGAGGCTGCGCAGCGACGGCACCGGCGAGTAGGACGCCCGGCTCTCGGCCTTCAGGTTGTTGTCGCTGGCCGAGCGCTGCAGCAGCCGCGGGGACGCCAGGCCGCCACCACCGCCGCCACCGCTGCCCAGGATCCGCCGCCGCTTCGTGTAGCTCGGCGTCTCTCGGAAAGGCACTGGGGGAGACACGGACAGAGGGGTGTTAGGTGTTGGGTGGCGCTGGTAGTGCTCGGGTTGGGAGCTGGTGGCTCGCAGGAAGGGGGGGGAACCACCAGAAGCTCAGGTTGGAACCCGCAAGGACCGTCCAGTCCAACCGCTGGACCTGCACGAGACGTCCCAACAGTCCCACCCTGTCCCTCAGAGGATCATCCAAACCCTCCTGGAGCTCTGGCAGCCTTGGGGCTGTGCCCACTGCCCTGGGGAGCCTGTTCAGTGCCAACCACCCTCTGGGGAAGAACTTTTTCCTGAGGCCCAACCTGAGCCTGCCCTGACACAGCTCCAGCCATTCCCTGGGGTCCTGTACCTGGTCCCCCCAGAGCAGAGCTCAGGACCCGTCTCTGCCCCTCTTGGGGAAGATGTAACTGCAGTGACGTCTCCCCTCAGTCTCCCCTTCTCCAGGGAATGCATATGGAGTTGAGCTGGGAGGGCAGGAATGGCCAGGACAGAGGAGAACTCTTGCCAGGAAGGGCAGATTTTCCTATATCCTGTTTAATGAGTCCCTTTCCCTCCCAAAGTCCAATAGACTCAAGTTTGGGGCTCCATCCAGCGGGGAACCCGGAGCTGGGCACGTCCAGCCCGTTCCTGGTGCCACCACAGCGGCCAAAGCACGGGACAGGCACATCACAGGGAGTCTCCCACTCTCCTGCTCCAAGCAGGATCAGGAACGGTGCAATCCCGCTAACAGGGACCTCCCACTCCTTCTGCAACCAAAACGTCCCTTCCGAGGCCACCTCTCCCACGGCACCTTCCCCAGGGGATTCCCCAACACCTTCCCGAGGCCTCCAACCTGTGCCACCCTTGACCCAACCCCCTGCAGGCCCTTCCCGGCTGTGCTGGGGAATATTTTGCCGAGGAATGTTTTCAGTTCACAGCACAAGAATTTCAGGCGCCTGTAAGCTCTTCCTGTTGCCGCGGCAACGCGATGCGTTTGGTTCCCTCGCGAGTTCCAGCCATGTGCAGGGGGAATTTCTGCCAGTCCGAGCTCCCCGATCTCCTGCCACCACCACCTGCCCTCAGCACCCACACCCAGCAGGAATAACAGCCCAAAGCTCTGGAATCACAGAGCCAAGAGGGTTGGAAAAGCCCTCGAAGGCCGTCAAGTCCAGCTGTCACCCAGCACCACAAAGGTCACCGTTAACCCAAGTCCCCCGGTGCCACATCCACGTGTGGTCCTGGGATGTGCCCCCAAGGCAGGACGAGGCTTGCCAAGCTGAGGTCATGTGTCACCCAGGCACGTGACAGATCTCCAGGAGACATTCAGCTTTGTGCTACAATCACTTCCAGAAAACCAGTTCGGGGAAATCGGTGAGGAGCAAATATCAAAAGGATGCCACCATGCTGGAAGGTTTAAAAATTGTTAGGAATTGGAAGCAGCCACTCGAAAAGCAAGGAAGTTTCTTGAGGTGGTTTGGAGTCCCCAGGCCTGGAGGTGTCCCAGGAAGGCCTGGCCGTGGCACTCAGTGCTCTGGGCTGGGGGACAAGGTGGGGATGGGGCACAGGGGGGATCCATGGGCTGGGAGGGCTTTTCCAACCTCAGAGATTATGGGATTCTGGCCAGGTTGGCCAGAGAAGCTGTGGCTGCCCCTGGATCCCTGGGAGTGTCCAAGGACAGGCCAAAGCCACCTGGGCCAGTGGGAGATGTCCCTGCCCATGGCAGGGGCTGGCACTGGATGGGTTTTAAGGTCCCTTCCAAACCAGCACATTCCATGATTCTGTGATCCAAGCTGGGAACCAGCGAGGCCCCACAGAGGTTGGAAAGTGCTTAGGAAAAGAATCTCAACTGTATGTTGAATCAACTCATATAAAGTTTCCCGTGGAATTATCCTGTTGCAGAGCTGGGAAGAGAAAAGAAAATTAGGGAAAAAAAAAAGAGGAAAAAAAAAGGAAAGAAAAATGAAAGAAAAAAAAAGAAAAAAAAAGAAAAAAAAAAAAGAAGAGCAGGTTTTTAACTTGCAAGGAAAGAAGGAGCCCACCATTCAGGAGATCCTGTAGGTCTATTCTGCTCCTGTTTGTCTCAGATTAACTGAGCAGGAATGAACCTGCCCTGGGCCCTGCCCTCCCCACTGGGACCAGCACGACCTCCCCACTGGGAGATGTGAATGGGTCGGGGCCAGGGGGGGATGGTGAGATATTCCCAGCAAGCCCCAGCCACCAGGCAATGAGGCACAAACAGGTTGCTCAAGGACTCCCTGGGAAAAAAAAAAGGTACTTTATAATTCTTGACACGGGTCAGGGCAAGTGCTTTAGCTCAGCCTGTCAAATAAATCACATCCAGCCACCACCTCCTGCGTTCACAGCACTCCCTCCCAGCACCAAAGTGACAGAACCCAGCTGAGAAACAAAGAAAAACTCAACCTCTGCCCGGGATTCACACCCAAAGGAAGCACAGAGGGGCTGGAGGAGCAGCCCAGGGCCACTCTCCAGCCACTAATCCATTTATCACGACATCAGGGGCAGGAGTCCCCGAAGCACAGCATTTACAGGAGCGAACGTGAAGGTATCCAGGTCACAGAACAGGCTGTAAAGCCAAAGTTTCCCAAGTATTTAATTCCAGAGGCACATTAAGAGGACAGAGGCGTCACTGCAAAGGCAGTTCCTTCAAAGACAGGAGGTACCTGCACTGTCTGTGTCATTT